TTCCCTTGTCCAGACTTTTTCCCTTTTCCCAAGTATCCTAAAACCATCAATGCCAGTTGCCTCTAAAAATTCATCCTTGCCATGTGCTAGGTGTGCAGGAAATGATAGAATTTTAACCTTGGACTCAAGCTGAATTAGAAGCTGTAAAGATTTCTTGAAACATAGATAAGACCAACAAATATTCATAAAATAATTTAGAATTCTTTTGGGTGCATATGACCCATTGTTACTTGATCTGTACCAAATTGTACACATGTTGGTTGGTTGGAACCTCAGATGCTAAGTTCTGTGGGTAAAAGCTGATTGAATTTACCCAGAAAGGGACCTACTGGATCCTTCCTTTCACAATAAACTTAAGAGTCAAAAAGTGGCTTTAAAAATAAGGCAAAGTATCCTAGAAGCCACATCTGAAACATTTTAATAAAAATTGATTGGACCATAATTAAATCATGTAAAAAAGATTAAAGATGAAACTATAGGAGGTTTTAAATATAGACTAGAAAGTATCTTCTAAAAACACCTGAGAGTTGAAGAAAATGCTGATATAACAGCAGCCCCTTCATCTCATTTTGTCAGTGGAGCTAAACCTGATATTGGTCATCTAATTCACAGAAAGAAATTATAATGGGAAATAACCCCTTTATCTGAACCACAAAAAAACCCCAAAAACCTGGCATACATTTTGAAATAGCTTTAGAATAGAAATGAGATAAGATCCAAAATAAAGTCATAGCCCTAAAGATCAAACAGCTGTGTAGACCACTTCCCAAACACCACTTATTGATAAGGACTCTTGCAGATATTGTAAAAAGGAAAATGGGGGGTGGAGGAGGGTCTAATTTTATCAAAGAAAAACCAAGACAAAAAAATGTCCTCAATTCTTGTCAGTGAGGGTGCTCTGAGGGAGAAAAACGCATCCAATATTCTGCCTTACTTTTAAAAACATAACATTCTTTGGCGAATCTCTTCTTTCATCCAGTCCCCCCTCTTCCTCCCCTCTGACAGCTGTCAGTCTGTTCCATGTCTCCAGGCCTCTGTTTCTATTTGTATGTCAGTTTACTTTGTTCTTTGGATTGTTAATTTAAATCGCCATTGGCGAGGAAACCTTAAAAACACAGCTGAGGCTACTTTCGGGTCATGTATCACCAGTCAGCAACTTAGCCCTTTTAAACCTGCAAAGGTGGGGCAAAAAAAAATGACCCAAGGCCTCAATGACACATTCAACAAGCTCAGATGGAATTCATCCAACCTCGATGGGATCTGAATATGTTTTAGTTATTGTATATCATTTTTCAGGGCAGGCTTAAGTATTTCCTTGCTGAAAAGCTCCTTGATTTTGTGGTTTCCACTTGGGGCATCCCAACTTTTATATCAAGTGATTAGGAGTACACACTCAACAGAAACCAAGAATCTGTAAGACACTACTCTCTGCTCAGAAACTGTACTGTCCTTATTAGCTACTAGGGGCACAGTGCACAAATTTGTGTACCTTGAAAGGAGCCATGGGCCGTGAGGCTGCTGTGGGCACAGGGGCTTGTCTCAGCCCTCCTCTGCACCCCCAACTGGCACCTCCCACTGCAGCCCCAGTTCCCTGTCTACCAGCAGCCCTGCTCCCACACACTGACGGCACAGAGCAATTGGGGCTGGTGCCAGCAATGGGTGCGAGTGGGGCTGGTCCCGTTAGCAGGTGTGAGCAGGGACTGCTGCTCCGATCGCCCCTCAGGATCAGGGGGAGGTTGAGAAGCCCTCAGGGGTGATCAGGACTGGCACTGGGAGCCGGCAGCAGGTGCAAGTGGCTGCTCTGGCACCAGCTGTGGGTGCGAGTGGGGCCGGCGCCAGAAACAGGTACAAGTGCCTGTGGGACCATGGTGCATGGGAGCAAAGAATTTTCAGTAACCACCAGAGGCTCGCCCCAATGACAATGACTGGCGCCCTGCCTTGGTCTGGTGCCCCCACTCACCTGCTCCACCATCCTGCCACAGCCTACACCCACCACTTTGGGCACTCTGATACCTGCTGCCAATGCCCTCTATGTTCCACGTGTGCCCTCTGGTGGTCAATCGCATGTCGTAGCGATTGGTTGGTTGGTTTTTCCACTGTTTGGTCTATTTGCATATTAGCCTTTTATTATATAGGACAATCTTCTGAAAAGATTGAAAAGACCAATGGCAATCCTTAAATACAAATTAGCAAAGCTTTCAGAAACCCTGAACTCCCTTGGCAAAGGTACTTTCACTAGCTTTTATAGTTTCTATGGCCACTCCCTTGGGGACACATTGGTTATTCCTTTATGAATTAGTAACTGGAGCGTCCACACATTTAGGGATTTTACTCCAATATTAGACACTTGCCATACTGCATGGTGACATGGGAAAATATTGCAAGGGTCTCTTGGACTATACCTAGTTCTTTCACTTATAGGTTTAGTGTATCTTCCCAACATATTTTCCTAAACGATCTGTTCATGATCTTCAAACAGGATATTTCATTTATTGGAAGAGATATCATAGGAAAACTGCTCTTGACTTCATTGGAAAGGACCTTATCAGGTACTGTAAATGACAAATACAACAGTGACATGCCAGACAGAGTCAATGCTTGGATTCATGTTTAACAGCTGAAGAAGTAATTTAGAATTCCACACAATTGGAAGGCTACTCCAACATGGGATTTCAAATTGAGGACACTCAGAGGTCTTGTAAACACAGCTGATCTTTGGAACAAGCAGATGACTTTAGACCAGTGGTTCTCAACCTTGGCTGCATATTAGAATCATCTGGGAGTCTTTTTAAAATCCTGATTTCTGGGCCTCATCCATCCTGAAATTC